CTCCATGGAAAGTTCTTCCTGCTGGGAAGATGGGGTTCTCCCTGGTGACCCATCTCATCTGGGTCCCTCCCACCAGATTGGGAAGGTGCCTGCTTGGCAGGAGGCATGCATCGTTGGTAGCCCCACACCACCCACGGCCACCCTCTGCTCTGTTCTGCCCACTCCTCCAACTCACTCTCTGCGATGACCCGGGAGGAGCCGGGTCTTTCCTGTCCATTGAAGACTGGTGGTTTTAGATGCCTTTCCCCAAACATCTTGTTTACATTTTTCCTAGCTAAGCCTCATTTTTCTGTTTGCAGCCCATTTTTCTATGTCTTAGGAAAAATAGATATGTCAGCTGTTTTTCTTTTTCACTTCCATGTCCTCTGCCACTTCATTAGAGTGCGACTTGACTGTGTCCAAGTTCATGTATTGGGTAGGGAGAGGATGCATTAAGTAACAATGGGCCCAGTTCCAAGTCCCAAGTTGCTTCCTGGGTGGTTACTATTTAGTAACCGTTTTTGGCTTAGTCTTCCGCCTGGGGAGGTGGTGGGGTTGGTGCCATCAGGCAAGGAGTGGGACAAGAGAAACTTGGGCCTTCTCCAGCTCTGTTACCATACAACTCCCATCACTACAGCTCAGCAGCCAGCAAACACTCAGAAACTTCTGGAGTCAGGCATTCATCAGGGGATGGGAATACTGTGAGGTGAGGTCCAGGAAGACTGGACACTTAGGAAGAACACACAATGCAAGATGGCTGCCTGAGCCAAGGCTGGGTTTCACCCTGCCTTCAACCCATTTGAGCAGGCTTAAGCCCCACAGGTGTTAAGTTGGCATATCTTTAGGTGAAGTGACAGGGTGAGCTTCATAATTTGCAGAAGCCAGTCCAGAAGGAACATGTGGGTACTCAGCATTCTGTGCAAGGACTCCTGAATGCCATTCTTCTCACCACCTCTAATGTCAACAGTGGTGTCCCTGGCTTCTTCTAAAATAACTCTACTAACCAGACTGGGGTAGGGATGCCAATATCCCCTTCCCATGGGCCTGCCACTGCAGCTCATAGTGGGCAGGGGTCCCCAGGGATCCCACAGTCTGCACTGGGCACTCTTGGTACCTAGATGGAGGGTGGGTGAGAGGTCCCCTTTGAGTCAGCAGCAATTGCACTGCAGCACTGCCAGTCCAGGGAGTGCAGGATGGCTGGCACTATGCCTCTCCCCAAGACATTGCAGGGCGCATGCCCAGTCCTGACTCTCCCTGTACCGGTGCAGAGGCCTCCACCAACATGACTCTGTCAGCACCTTGGGAGTAGGGTGACACTGGTGATGGAGCCCAGGCACCAGGGGTGATGTGTAGGTGCCTGAAAATCCCTCCTGGGGAGGTGGTGAGGAGGCAGGACCATGAGTGAGCTGAGGCTTTAGATGCCAGTGCATGTTCACTTATAAACACAAATTCAAAGATAAAAATACTAAGAATCAAAGATGGCAGCTGCAGAGCACCCAACCGCAAATGGAGGCCGTCAGAGTACAAGGGCCTTAAGAATGCAAGACCCTTTGGGGCTCAAATTCTCTAGAGAGGAGGTTTGGGGTTCAGTTTGAGACCCATTAGCAAAGCTGGAAGATGCAGCTGTGGCTTGGATGTTGGAGCATAAATGAATGGGCACACCTCCACTGGGTGGATGGCAGTGGTTCCCCAGTGAAGAGGGGCCTGGGGCTTGGCTAACTCAAAAGATCCTTACTCTGATAGTGTGTGCTGAATAAAACATGAGCAGTAGAGAGACTGAGCCTCACTCTCATGTCTTTTCTTGGAATTGTGGAGAGGGAGACCCTACTTCTAGCCTCAGTTTATACAACTATAAGGTAAGAGCAAAATCTGCAGACTCCTGGGAGCAGGGAGTTATATAAGGATTTTCAAGATACCTTTGAAAGGTACTTTAGCCTCCTGGAAAATGGAAATGGATCCACTAAACATCATCAAAATGTGTGTGACCAATTGATTTTGACCATAGGACTGGGGAGAGGAGAGAATGTCTATATGATTCTTAAGACTCCTTCTAACCTCAAGTTTGTGTTTCTCTTATTTTGGTCTAAGCTATAGAATTTCTATATTTCCATGCTGTGTATTGTGAGAAGTTTTAAAGGAGTATTTTCTTTATCATTTCTCCATAATATAAGAATAATTACTTTTCCTTGAAAATATATAAAAAAGATTTTTTTTCCTAATGGCTCCTTGAAGGGAGAAGACCTTAAAGGAGAAGACAGGAAAATCCAGGCCATGTTTTGAGGTTTATTCCATAAGATATGGACAATGTAATTTTCAAATGATTTTCTAATTCAAATGAAGAAAATGGCAACAAACTTAGGGACCCTATAGCACTTATTCTTCTTAAAAATATTCTGTCTTTTATCTTGACTTCTTAAAAATAAAAAATGATTTTTTATCACTAAAATAGTCAGTATATATATTCAGTAAATATTTATTGGGTACCTACTATGTTCTAGGTACTATACCAGGAACCAAGGATAGTAACTAAAATAAGACATGCCCTCACTCCTAAGGACCTAAAATTCTAACAGATGAATGGTTTGAATTAATTTCTGTTAACTCACGCTATCACCTGGACTAGGTTTTTATTTCTGTCCATGCCTCAGTTCCCCCATCCTTGTCCCATGTAGATAATTATCGTGATAGAACAACATGATGAAAATTGCATCACAGAGGCGATCTCTATTACCTCTATAGGTGGATTTCAGAAATGTGAAATTAGGGAGGGTTAAGAAAGTTGTTTTAATAGAAGCCTGGGACATCAGTGTTGACACTAGAGGTGCTGAGAAGAATGGCATTCAGGAGCCCATGCACAGAATGCTAAGGGGACGTTCTGAGAACCTCACCTGGACTAGGTGTAAGGGACCAGCCAGGCGGAGACTGCAGGGCACAATTGAGATTTGTGCTCAGAAGTATTCAGTGGAGTGGTTGCCATCTGAACATACCTCCACAGACCACTCATGTCCAGCTCAGCTGTCACAAGATGTCAATTTGGTGCTGGGGTATTTTCTTGCTTTCTGACCCAGAAAGTCTTGCCATGACCCAGCTGGGATTCATGAGCTCGGTTGGAAGCTAAAGAACAGGTTAGGGCTTTGTCTTTATTGCCTGTGTGTTTCACAGTTCTTTGTGAAGGAATTGCTTTCTTTTTTTTTTTCTTTAACAAAGTTGGTGTATTCCTATATGGTGTCACTGTAATTTTGATTTGGTGTTCTAGCTGCCATCTTGAAACTACATGGTGGCTGGATGTGGTGGCTCACGCCTGTAATCCCAGCACTTTGGGAGGCAGAGGTGGGCAGATCACTTGAGGTCAGAAGTTTGAGACCAGCCCGGCCAAAATGGTGAAACCCTGTCTCTACTAAAAAAGTACAAAAATTAGCTGGGCATGGTGGCTGGTGCCTGTAATCCCATCTACATGGGAGGATGAGGTGGGAGAATTGTGTGAACCTGGGAGGCAGAGGTTGTAGTGAGCCAAGATCCCACCACTGCATTTCAGCCTGGGTGACAGATCAAGACTCCGTCTCAAAAAAAAGAACTACATGGTAACCAGTTACTTTCTCTAATTAGGTCGTATTTTGTAAATCCTAATAGGAGTGTGAATTTGCTTAATGTGTATCCATCACAGAAATGGGATAGTACCTTTGATAAAATGTTCTATTAGTACATTTTATAAAGGCCCATTCACTGCTGACTCTCGGCCTCCCACTCCTTTTGTGGAGTTGGGCTGAGATAGCGGTTATTACTATTGCTACCACCGATGCTGATTACTAAGGACATAAAATACTGTGTGTATGTGTTTATAGTGATTAATCATGTTTATAATGATTAGTGTGTTTATAATGATTATAATGAAGAATGTTATGGTATTGCTAGTATGCTATTTAACAAGAGGAAGAGCTTGGGACTCAGGGAAATTAAATGCAAAATCGCACAGCTAGAATGTAGCTGACTGGAACTTGAACTGATACCCAAGTTCTTTCCACTCTGCTCCATATGCTTCTTTTATCATTGCAATAGGGTCTAGGGTTTTATAAAGGAGAAGGCTAAAGAATGCATTAGGTCCTTTGGTAAGACACATTATCACCTTTGCAGCTGCCTCTCCCATAATCATAGGCCTTGTTCATCTAACAATGTAACATGAGTGTAAAGACACCAGCCCGTCATTGATCTCTGAGCTTCTGTGACTTGCAGAGAGGCTGCTCCATGTCTTAGGGGGCCAGCAGTAGCCTTTCAAGGGAAGAATGGGGTCTGGGTGGGAAGACTTGCTGGAAGGCAGTGAAGTGGAGCGGAAAGAACATGGCTTACAGACTCAAGTAGACCAGGTCTGTGTCCCTTGAGCAAGTCTCTTCACTGACCATCAGTAAAGTGAGGACAGTAGCACCCACTCGATAGGACTGAATTAAATGAGATGAAGGATATAAAGCTTATGATGTAGACAGGACACTCAACAATTGTTAGTTGCAGTTGCAAGAAGACTTTACTTTTCTCTTTCCACAATTTCCCATGTGCACATTCATCGACAGATGCATTTTCACTGCTGCTTAAGATTTTGCACGCAGTCTCTTTCATGCTAGTGTGAGAAGCCCTAAATTTATGTTTTTTAAATATGTTATTTCTGCATAGTTTCCCATTGCCTCAGTGCTCCCTTTTGTGAGTTTAGATTACTACGGGCCTCTAGGACACTGGGTGTCACCAATAGCGAATTCATCCAAGCTTGTGTCATGCCTTTTTCCTGGTCTGAGGGATGAAGGTGGCGGTTGGGGTTGCCTCTTATCTCACTCACTCTTTTGCTATGGGAAGTCTTACTGTCTTCTCCTGAAGCCTTGGCCTTCCAAGAGGAAAAAGGCTTCTTAAACTCGGAGGCATGGCTAGAACACAAGTGCCTAGAACTCTGTGCCCTTGCCCACTGGAAGTGGAAGAGGGTTCATCACTCACGCTCTAGAGTTGCCCAGATTCTTATGTTCTTTGTTCTCTTTTGGCAGAACCAGCTTCTTGCAAAAGGACTGTTCTTTGTGGAGGAGAAGATCAAGCTGTGTGAAGGCAAGTACAAGACAGCCCTGATAGACTGGGGCCTCTGTGACTCAGCCTTTGATGTCTGAACAGCTGAGATGCTTCTGTCCAGAAGTGACAGACTCCAAGCGAGTGATTCACCCTGTCCATTTCCTTCCTACCTAGGCGGCAGCACTTTCATTTGAGTCAGCTGCTCACAGCATTGCAAGTCAGAACTGTGTTTCAGAAAAATGTAGTGGGATGGGGTGGTGGTTTCTTTGGAGACCTTGTTCAGGTCTCCTTTTTTGTTTGTTTGTTTGTTTGTTTTTTGTTTGTTTGTTTAATGGGATGCAGGCTAGGGGTCTCTCTTGAAGGAATAAGTTACTCTGTGAATCCTCCATGCTATTTCCTCTGGTCTGCCCCGAGCTATTTCCTACAGACCTTTGTAATATTTCTGGGGAGTCATAGAGGAGTCCTGTCCATTTGGGGGACATTAGGCTAAGCAGGTACTCACTCAATAGGGTATGATTTGATAAATGAAGGGAAATTTCCTGATCTTAGATTTTAAAGTCCAACTGACAGGAGAGAAAGGAACTGAATGGAGATGGAAACAGGTTCCAAAGGTAAGAATTGGTCAACCCCATGACTCTACCAAGGGCTACTTTTAGCTCCCACCAAAGTGGGACTTGATCTTAGCTTGCCACCTACTTTTTGGGTAACTTTTGGTTAGTTACTAGTTTCTCCAAGTCTCAGCTTTTATCATTTTTGAAGTGATAAATTGGGGTGAGGGGTTGTAGGGAACATAAGGCACATGAGTGGCGTAACACCATACCTGGCACACAGCAGGTGTACATACTGGACCCTTTCTTTTTTTTCTGCTCCAGCCTAATGTCCCATAGATCAAACTTACTTCCAGGCCCAGACTTATTAGGTGTCATGTCATCATCCTTTTGTTTCTCCCCATTCCCTGGGAGAGACACTAGTGTGTCCAGGAAAGGGGCTCCTAGAAAGACAAAGTAGGAAGGAAAAGGAGAAACTGACGCTGGAAAGTTCTGAAGTCCGGCATACAGTAATTGCTTACCAAGCCTTGGGAAGAATAGAGGTTAGAAATTAACCTTTGCACATTTGAGAGTTGGCTGAACCTGTAGCCATTCTTCCCTTGAATACATCAATGCATTATTTTTTTTTCAAACATATAAATACCCAGTAACCCAAGGCCTTTAGAAAAAAATTTTAAATTGTAGTTAAACAAAACCCCACACAATATAAAATATACCCTCTTTATAATTGCAGTACTTTACAGTTCAGTAGTGTTAATTATATTCACATTGTTGTGTAACAGATCTCTAGAACTTTATCTTGCAAAACGGAAACTCCATGTCCATTGAACAACTCCCAACATTTTGCCCCCTTTCCTCAGCCCCCGACAGCCACCATCCTATTTTTTGTTTCCGTGCTTTGACTACTCTAGGCATCTTATAATTGGAATCATACGGTATTTGTCCTTTTGTGACTGGCTTAGTTTCATTCAGCATAAGGTCCGCAAATTCACGTTGTAGCATGTGACAGGATTCCCTTCTTATTTTAAGGCTAATATTCCATTGTATGTGCATGCTACATTTGCTTTATCTTCTCACGTGTCAAAGGAAGGGGCTTATTCTTAGGTGACTTGCTTAAGAATTTAGTGGGTCTTTTGCATTTTATTTATTTATTTATTTTTGAGACAGAATCTCACTTCTGTGGCCCAGGCTGGAGAGCCGTGGCACGATCTCGACTCACTGCAACCTCTACCTCCCAGGTTCAAGCGATTCTCATGCCTCCGCCTCTTGAGTAGCTGAGATTACAGGCACCTGCCACCACGCCTGGCTAATTTTTGTATTTTTAGTAGGGGTTTCACCTTGTTGGCCAGGCTGGTCTCAACTGACCTCAAATGATCCACCGCCTTGGACTCCCAAAGTTCTGGGATTATAGGCATGAGCCACTGTGCCTGGCCCTCTTTTGCATTTTGGAGTCAGACTAGTACAAAAATGTGGAAGACAACTGCCTGGTAAAGGAAGGGGAAAGAAACATTGTCCCTAGTCACATAAATTGTATGTATGTTATCTGGGGAGTTATTACAAGCTCCTGGAAATGTGGAAAAACAGCTCTATGAAAAAGATACTGAATAAAACCAGAGGTTCAAGTGCCCTTAAAAGGAGAAGTTGAATATCTCTCACCCGAATAACCCTCATCATAGATACACTCAGAGTGAAAACTCAGAAATGGGGCTAGACAGGATGAACAAAGTTCATCCCACATTCTATGCCCCTGCCCTGGCATGGCCTGAGAGCACCAGGCCTGGGGTATTCTCTCTGAGTCTCTTCTAGTCCCGGAGTTCTGGGTGTTGGGGCCTTTTCTGTACAGTGAATGGGCATGTGGGGAGCCTTTAAGGGACTCTGCCATCTTCAACCAGGCATCTCTACTGTTTAATTTTATGTATTAGAACTCCAAGAAAAATCTGTTTGAATAAAAGGATTCTCTTGCTATAAAACAAAGTTTGAAAACAATTAATATGATATGTCCAGTCACTGAACAAACTCCTCTTCGTTGACATCTCTGCTTAGATACTTACATGTCTATATATACACACCCTTTCTTTACTGCCGCAGAAAAGACAGGTGGCTGTTCATACCCACCTGTTGCTCTTTTGTGGGCAGAAGATGCCATGTTAAGTTCATATTTTCTGGAGCCTTAGTGACCTTGAGTCTTAGGAAGTTTCTGACACTTACCTATATACTTCTGGTGACCTAAACTGCTGTGTTACATTAGCAGATGTATAGGACAGTCATCTAGAACCATCCATCCAACCCCCTTCATTTTTGCAGGGAGCTAAGTCCTTGACTTATGGGCTGTTTCTGGAAGGGAAGGCACCTGTGTTCTTTAACTCTTTCTCCCCCAGGGCTGCCCTGTTGCTGTGTCTGTGTCTGTCTGATGTTCTTCTCTGAACACTTTCCAAAACCTCCATTACTCTCTGAAGTTTGCAGCCAGCAATTAGACCTGGGTTCTTGGGAGGCATCTTACTGTTGCTAGGTTGCAGAATTACCTTGTGTGTCAACGAGCATCCTGTCTTGGCACTGAAAGGGGGAGTAAGTAGGCACCAGTGCTGACCCGCAAGGTTCTCTCTTCTTCTCTTCCTTCAGATCAAGAGGGCCTCTGCTTGTCTTGGTTGTAGAAGGCTTAAGATAAGGGACATCAACAGAGAAGCTGGAGTCACCTTTTACCATGTGGGGTACATTATCCAGGTGCTGGAGTTCACCTTGGTTCTAGGAACCCGGATGACTCAGTATGTGAGATGGTCCTTTTAGACTTCCCCCTCCTCCTCCCTGCAGTGAAACAGCATAGCCTACGTTTGAAAGAGGATACTGACTGCTTCAATGAAATGTTTATTTGATTATCTACTATGAGCCAGCACATTGCTAGGTGCTGGGGAGTCAGGAGTCAGAGAAACCATCACAGCATTACAGGCCCTCATGGAGCTCACACATGAATCAAATCATCACCAAGTATAAAACTGTACCCAGGACAAGTACTAAGAATACAGTCTGTAGCAGAGTGGTTTCACCAATGGGGAGAGACTTTCTCCTAGAAATGATGTTCAAGCTGCAACTAGAAAGATCAACAGAAGTAGGTTAGGTAAAGAAGGGAGAGAAAGAGCAGTCAAGGCAGAAGGGCCAGCACATGCAAAGGCCCTGTGGCATGAGAGAGAAGGGTGACTGCAAGAGAGATCATTAGAGCCCAAAGGCCAACAGGAATACAGAAGAGGATCAAGACCCAGAAGGAGGAGACGGATTCTCCTGGGCTGTGTAGATCATATCATTCAGGTTTTCTTTATCCTAGGAGCAAAGGAAAATGTTCATGCTAACTATTAAGTCCTGTTCTACACTGTCCCATATTTGGGTTAAATGGTAACCTCCTTCCACTCACCAGTCCCAGTATCTGCAAAAATCTATACACTTGGCACTTTCCATCCATTCAAGCAAAGCTTTTAAAAGATTGATTTATTGAAGAGGCTGCACCATCCTTAGCACTAGTAATATAGTGATGAGCAAGACAGACAGCGCCCCTTTCCCACTCCCATTCCAGTGACAAGACAGAGAAGAAGTGAATAAACCGTTCCAATAAAGTGTGATCAGTGGTTTGCACAGGAAAGTTGAGGGTGCCCTGGATTTGCATTTTCCCCCCTGTGAATTTCACCCTGACCTTTCAAAATCTGCACACATCTTTGGACCTGCTGGCTACTAGTCATGCCCTTGTTCTATTCTCTCTCCCCAGCCACTGCTTTTATTGCCCATTAAATTAATAGACGGTGCCAAATGAATCTTTCAAGATTTATTCAGTGGAACTGGCAGTGTCTTGCCAAACGTGTCTCTCAGTGTCTAATCTTGGCTGACCCAGTTTCTCTGCCTGGGATGAGCTGAGGCAGTGACCAATATCAGCTCTGATATCTAGGTCATTAAACAGCAACTGCTATGCAGGCCCTTCTCTGCCAGGGCCCGTCTTTCCTGGAGGTGCAGAGTTCCTCACACAGCGTTCCGATGGTATTGGGTGACCTGTGTGCTCCAGTCTGGGGTAGCAGGGACACTTGGCTGTAGCTTAGACTTCCTGATCCTAGAAGTAAGTAGGGACAGCATCAGAAGTCAGGTGCTGTGTTTTGCAGAGTGCCTTTTCAGAGAATGCTGCCCTCCCAGTTACTGTAAAGAAGTGGGTGGAGAAAACAGTTTCCAGATCCTCTTTCTGCCTCTCTCCATTGACAGCTGAAACTCAGAATAAACCCAGTGTCTTAATGAGTGAGAAAACAAAACAGTATATAGCTGTGCACATGATCTTCCCGGATTAGCCTGGCCAAGAGCTTGAGTTCTGGAATCACAGCTCTGCCTTTGAGCTGTGTGACTTGGGGGCAGTTAGTTGGCCTCTCTGAGGCTGTAAAGTTGGGGGTATTAGAGTTTAGTCATGAGATATCTTATAGGTAAGTAAACTAGCATTGTGTTGGATAATGTTGTAACCATTCATGTGATAATAGCTACTGTGTGATTTTAAGATGTCAGCTCCCTTTTCTGGATTGGAGGATGGAAAGGCATATTTGCATATTTTCCGTTGGATTTTCCCACCCAGTCCTACATTTACTATAGTAACACCTTGTAGATCAAATGTAAGTAGTGCGCTCTCTTCCCTCCCCACACCTAATGCTGCGTCTCCCATTCAGAGTCTTACTAGTGAAGACTGGTAAGTTTAGATTACTTACTAGTAAGACCAGTGAGCTAAGATCAATGCATGCATCCTTGTGAGATGGAATATATTTCTGCCCTGAGAATTTCTGTTGGTCTTAGCCTGGAATGAATATCCTGCAGTACCACACCTCTGCTCTCTGGGCTTTAATAGCTCCTGGCTGCAAGTTTTTTTAGCATGTGCAACTTGACATTTTATGTGGAACTGTCTTCTGGCCTCTTCTACAAATAATGACAAATTCTTTTCTTTCTTCCTCCCTTCCCATCTTCTCGCCCTCTTGTAGGTGAAAATCGCATTGAGGTTCTGGCTGAAGTCTGGGACCACTTCTTCACTGAGACTCTCCCTACCCTGCAGGCAATATTTTATCCAGTTCAGGTTAGTCTCACTGGGGAACACTTCCTGCCATCCTCAGCAGTCTGTCTTCTCTCCTGGCCTTTGCGGCCTGGGGGCTCCTGGTAAATGGGAGAAAACTTGGAGATTGGGTACTTGCATTGGTTAAGGAGTTCAGAGATCTTTTAAGGGCTCTCGGGTTCTATATTTAGTACCTAACTTCAAGTGAAGAAGAGTGCCTGCCTAACTAGCAATTTTTAGGCTCTTGTTACCCTCTTGGTTTTGAGTATGTCTTTATATTCTTGGAGTGGTTTGTTTTTCTTAGTTTTCAAAAGTAGAGAAGTTGGGGGGAAGGGAGATTTCTTGTTTCTTTTCTTTCTTTCTCCCCTGCCTCTTTCTTTCTTCTCTCCCTTTTTTTTTTTTTTTTTTTGAAGCTCAATTTTAAAGCAAGTTTGCTGTTGCTTTCAAATCATGAAAAAGGAGTAACATTCCGTGTTCCTCTGTAAGGGATCCTACGTGATTTAGTAGGAAGAACGCTGGACTAGGAATCTGTAGACTTAGATTCAAGAGTGTGAGTTTGGGCAGAGTCATTTATCTTCTGTGAGCATAGCTCCATTGTATCTCCGGCAAAACGAGGAATTGAGAGTAAAATATGAATGACACCTCTAGTATTCTTATTCTGTGGCCTTCACTCCTTCTACCATTTGTGTTGATATCCTTGCCCCCTTGTCTCTGTAGAGCTAATACCACGATGATCACTGCCAGGTCGATGCCACCCCTGAGGACGGTTGACCTGTAGATGTTCCTCTCCAAAATACATGTCTCTCTCACTTCAGCTGCAGTGTGCTCACTCTTCTCTCCTCCCACTGGGGTTGAGGCTTCATATGTAATTAGGTATTGCTGAAGCGTGGGTGTCGTATGCAGAGGAACACAGCCATTAAGCAATGGGTAGAACGACCTTATGCCAGAGGTCAAGGCCCACGTGGACTGTTTGGTCTGAACAGTGTTTTAAAGGAATTTTGAATTGCTGAAAACATATGTCAAATATCTAAAACCTGGGAGGTTAGGCTTATAATTCCATTTTCCATGTTAGACCCACCCCATAACATTTCCAGTAAGATAGTACAGATAGAAGCCTCTGTCCTGTAGCCTGCAGAAACCTTCCCCTTCCTTGCAGTAGTCACCCATCAGCCATCAGTGAGTCTTCTCTCAGGAAGATAGACATGGGGATAAGGTTGCCAGATTAAGCATATAAAAATACAGGATGATGGCCAGGCACAGCACTTTGGGAGGCTGAGGCTGGTAGATCACTTGAGCCCAGGAGTTTGAGACTAGGCTGAGCAACATGATGAAAACCCATCTCTATTAACAAAATTTAGCCAGGCATGGTGGCATGTGTCTGTAGTCTCAGGTACTAGGGAGGCTGAAGTAGGAGGATCACTTGAGCCCAGAAGATCAAAGCTGCAGTGAGCCGAGATTGCACCACTGCACTTCAACATGGGAGACAGAGCAAAATCCTGTCTCTAAACAAACAAACAAACAGGATGTTGAGTTATATTTGAATTGCATATATAAGCAAATAACGCAATATTTGGGACATATTTATACTGAAAAACTCTTCAAATTTAACTGGGCATCCTGTGTTTTATCCGGTAACCTTACTAGAAGAGGGTTATACAGAAAAGGCCTGGATTTGTAAGTCGACAAAGGGGCATGTTGAATCAGTACCTGGCGCCTCCTGTGTTTATTTATTTATTTATTTATTATTATTATACTTTAAGTTCTAGGGTACATGTGCACAGCGTGCAGGTTTGTTACATATGTATACATGTGCCATGTTGATGTGCTGCACCCATTAACTCGTCATTTACATTAGGTATATCTCCTAATGCTATCCCTCCCCCCTCCCTCCACCCCCCGACAGGCCCCAGTATGTGACATTCCCCACCCTGTCTCCAAGTGTTCTCATTGTTCAGTTCTCACCTATGAGTGAGAACATGTGGTGTTTGGTTTTCTGTCCTTGTGATAGTTTGCTCAGAATGATGGTTTTCGGCTTCATCCATGTGCCTACAAAGGACATGAACTCATCCTTTTTTATGGCTGCATAGTATTCCATGGTGTATATATGCCACATTTTCTTAATTCAGTCTATCATTGATGGACATTTGGGTTGGTTCCCAGTCTTTGCTATTGTGAATAGTGCTGCAGTAAACATACGTGTACATGTGTCTTTATAGCAGCATGATTTATAATCCTTTGGGTATATACTCAGTAATGGGATGGCTGGGTCAAATAGTATTTCTACTTCTAGATCCTTGAGGAATTGCCACACTGTCTTCCACAATGATCGAACTAGTTTACAGTCCCACCAACAGTGTAAAAGTGTTCCTGTTTCTCCACATCCTCTCCAGCACCTGTTGTTTCCTGATTTTTAATGATCACCATTCTAACTGGTATGAGATGGTATCTCATTGTGGTTTTGATTTGCATTTCTCTGATGGCCAGTGATGATAAGCATTTTTTCATGTGTCTGTTGGCTGCATAAATGTCTTCTTTTGAGAAGTGTCTGTTCATATCCTTCACCCACTTTTTGATGGGGTTGTTTGTTTTTTTCTTGTAAATTTGTTTAAGTTCTTTGTAGTTTCTGGATATTAGCCCTTTGTCAGATGGATAGATTGTAAAAATTTTCTCCCATTCTATAGGTTGCCTGTGCACTCTGATGGTAGTTTCTTTTGCTGTGCAGAAGCTCTTTAGTTTAATTAGACCTCATTTGTCTATTTTGGCTTTTGTTGCCATTGCTTTTGGTGTTTTAGTCATGAAGTCCTTGCCCATGCCTATGTCCTGAATGGTATTGTGTAGGTTTTCTTCTAGGGTTTTTATGGTTTTAGGTCTAACATTTAAGTCTAATCCATCTTGAATTAATTTTTGTATAAAGTGTAAGGAAGGGATCCAGTTTCAGCTTTCTACATATGACTAGCCAGTTTTGCCAGCACCATTTATTAAATAGGGAATCCTTTCCCCATTTCTTGTTTTTGTCAGGTTTGTCAAACATCAGAAGTTTGTAGATGTGTGGCATTATTTCTGAAGGCTCTGTTCTGTTCTATTGGTCTATATCTCTGTTTTGGTACCAGTACGATACTGCTTTGGTTACTGTAGCCTTGTAGTATAGTTTGAAGTCAGGTAGCATGATACCTCCAGCTTTGTTCTTCTGGCGTAGGATTGTCCCGGCAATGCGGGCTCTTTTTCGTTTCATATGAACTTTAAAGTAGTTTTTTTCCAATTCTGTGAAGAAAGTCATTGGTAGCTTGATGGAGATGGCATTGAATCTATAAATTACCTTGGGCAGTATGGCCATTTTCATGATACTGATTCTTCCTATCCATGAGCATGGAATCTTCTTCCATTTGTTTGTGTTCTCTTTTATTTCGTTGAGCAGTGGTTTGTAGTTCTCCTTGAAGAGGTCCTTCACATCCCTTGTAAGTTGGATTCCTAGGTATTTTATTCTCTTTGAAGCAATTGTGAATGGGAGTTCACTCATGATTTGGCTCTCTGTTTGTCTGTTATTGGTGTATAAGAATGCTTGTGATTTTTGCACATTGATTTTGTATCCTGAGACTTTGCTGAAGTTTCTTATCAGCTTAAGGAGATTTTGGGCTGAGATGATGGGGTTTTCTAAATATACAATCATGTCATCTGCAAACAGGGACAATTTGACCTCCTCTTTTCCTAATTGAATACCCTTTATTTCTTTCTCCTGCCTGATTGCCCTGGCCAGAACTACAACACTATATTGAATAGGAGTGGTGAGAGAGGGCGTCCCTGTCTTGTGCCGATTTTCAATGGGAGTGCTTCCAGTTTTTGCCCATTCAGTATGATATTGGCTGTGGGTTTGTCATAAATAGCTCTTATTATTTTGAGATACATCCCATCAATACCTAACTTATTGAGAGTTTTTAGCATGAAGGGCTGTTGAATTTTGTCAAAGGCCTTTTCTGCATCTATTGAGATAATCATGTGGTTTTTCTCTTTGGTTCTGTTTATATGCTGGATTACATTTATTGATTTGCATATGTTGAGCCAGCCTTGCATCCCAGGGATGAAGCCCACTTGATCATGGGGATAAACTTTTTGATGTGCTGCTGGATTTAGTTTGCCAGTATTTTATTGAGGATTTTTGCATTGATGTTCATCAGGGATATTGGTTGAAAATTCTCTTTTTTTGTTGTGTCTGTGCCAGGATTTGGTATCAGGATGATTCTTGCTTCACAAAATGAGTTAGGGAGGGTTCCCTCTTTTTCTATTGATTGGAATAGTTTCAGAAAGAATGGTACCAGCTCCACTTTGTACCTCTGGTAGAATTCGGTCGTGAATCCATCTGGTCCTGGACTTGTTTTGGTTGGTAGACTATTAATTATTGCCTCAATTTCAGAGCCTGTTATTGGTCTATTCAGGGATTTGGCTTCTTCCTGGCTTAGTCTTGGGAGGGTGTATGTGTCCAGGAATTTATCCATTTCTTCTAGATTTTTTAGTTTATTTGTGTAGAGTTGTTTATAGTATTCTCTGATGGTAGTTTGTATGTCTGTGGGATCGGTGGTGATATCCCCTTTATCATTTTTTATTGTGTCTATTTGATTCGTCTCTCTTTTCTTCTTTATTAGTCTTGCTAGTAGTCTATCAATTTTGTTGATCTTTTCAAACAACCAGCTCCTGGATTCATTGATTTTTTTTGAAGGGTTTTTTGTGTCTCTATCTCCTTGAGTTCTGCTCTGATCTTAGTTATTTCTTGTCTTCTGCTAGCTTTTGAATGTCTTTGCTCTTGCTTCTCTAGTTCTTTTAATTGTGATGTTAGGGTGTCAATTTTAGATCTTTCCTGCTTTCTCTTTTGGGCATTTACTGCTATAAATTTCCCTCTACACACTGCTTTAAATGTGTCCCAGAGATTCTGGTATGTTGTGTCTTTGTTCTCATTGGTTTCAAAGAACATCTTTATTTCTGCCTTCATTTCGTTATGTACCCAGTAGTCATTCAGGAGCAGGTTGTTCTGT